GGAAATCATCCCTGAGGTTTCTGTGTGAGACGCCATCAGTGCCGTCAGAGGTGGTGCAAGCAGTGGGTGCAAAGAATCTCAGGTAACACCTCAAATACACTCGTTTCCAAATTGCTTTTGCCCTTCTCACACGAGCCCAAACTCTAACCCCAGGCTGGATGCTCTGTGTCAGGGAAGGAGGTTGACTGAGTAAATCAAGGCTGTGGCTGCTTATCTGCCTTGTCATTTGACTCTGTGTCAGTGGCTCTAACAAAGGACCACAGGCTGGGGGCTTAAACAGCATGGTCCTGGGGGCCAGAAGTCCAAGGTCAAGGTGTCAGAGGGGTTGGTTTCTTTTGAGGACTGTGAGGAAAATTTTGGTCCACGCCTCTCTCCTAGCCTCTGGTGTTTGGCTGGCAATCCTTAGGGTTCCTCAGTTTGTAAGTGGGGTTCCCCCTGGGTCTTCACGTTGTCTCCCCTACCCGTGTATACCTCATTCTCTTCAGATGGAATTTCTTTTATAAAGACACCAGTCATTGGATTAGGAGCCCACAACACTCCAGCGTGACCTCAATTTAACTTCATTACATCTGCAGTAACCCCATTTCCAAATATGGTCCTTCTGAAATACCAAGGGTTGGGACTTTACCATGTGATTTTTTTGTGGTGGGGTGATGGGGGTGAGGAGGAGGACCAACTCAGCCCATAAGAGGCCCCTTTCTCCACCTTGGGCTGCTCTGAACAATTTCCAAGAGTTGAAAGACTTCTGGGACTTCCCTGGGGGTCAAATGGTTAAGCCACTGCCCTCCCAATGCAGGGGCCATGCGTTCGACCATAGGTCGGGAACTACGATCCTACATGCTGCATGGAGTGACTTAAAAAAATCTTTTTAAAAAGTCAAAAGACTTCTGATCCCAGGCTGTCTTTTGCCACATCCCTCATTTCAGAGATGCATCCACCATCTCAGGCTCTCAAGGCAGAGGAGCTGTGCTTTTTACCCAGTGGACACTGGAAGCAGGAATCCTTACCTGAGCAGTCAGCCTGACTTATGGTTGATGACAAGCAGGTCAAGAAGAGTGTGCGAAGCAGGTCTGTACTGGTGTTGAATTCAAATTGGATTTGATTTCATTCCAGGGCCCATGGAGACTCTTACTCACATTATCTTCTTTTATAAATAATCTTCAGCTTTTGTTAGTGTCAAGCACTCAATTTAGCTCAAAATCAAGTTACTCATTATATTCAGCTACAATTCCAATGGCTCATTAAGCCAAGCCTGTGGCGTGATGAAGTCAGTGACCTTGCATGAATGAGCAGGTGACTAAATAGTCTCGGAGCCAGCTAATTAGGTAACACTTCTATTTCTCCTCCTGAAACGTTAAACAAGCTGTATGTGGTGAGAGGTCTGAGAGCTCAGACATGAACCAGTTCGTGCACCGGCATCTCGAAGACATCTGTTCTCTCACTGTTCACTCACCTTTGACACCGAGGACCCACTGGGGCCGGAGCTGATGTCAGGGCTGTCTCCTTCTCAGATGAGAAGGACTTCTCCCTGTGGCAGAAAAGAGGCACAGGTGTCTCTCTACCCCCTGCCCCCAAAGACAACAGAAGCTCCATCTTTCCTCCAGAATCATGCAAGAGGCAGGGAACCGAGGGTGACCGAGAGCATCAAACTTTAGAAGACAAAGAATTGGAGTAGCTTTTTTTTTTCATTGAACTATAGTTACTTTACAACTCTTGTGTTAATCTCAAGTGGACAGCGAAGTGATTCCATTTTACGGACAGAGGAGTTGCATGGGGTCTTTACAGACACGGGGTTGCAAAGAGTCGGACACGACTGAGCGACTAACACACACACATATATGTACATATGTGTTTGTTTACATATACACATGCATATGTACACATGTATTATATGTATACATATAGATGTACATATGTACATACATACATGTATTTATATAATATGTATATTCGTTTTCAGATTCTTTTCCACTATACATTATCACAACATATTTAATACACTTCCTTGTGCTACATGTAGGTCTTTGCTGTTTACCTACTTTATTTATTTCAGTTGTGTATGGAGTGGTTACTTTTAAGTACCTCATGGTTTTTAAGCCCCTCCCATCTCAGCCCCTGAAAATGCATCTGGTCTCAGAGACACAGGGGCCCGGACATTCAGGGCTGTCTCAGCACTCCTCATCACTGAGAAGTCAGGACCCAAGTCCACGGGCTCTTGTCCTCGTGCCTGTGGACCCCCCTTTCTGCCCTCCTCCCTCCTGCTGAATAAGCACCCCATTGTTTAGGGAGCTCATGTTTGCCTGAGGCTGGAATTACCTTCTCTGCCCAGACTCACTCTTTCTGCCAGCTGACAGTGTGAAGATATCACTAATCTTTGAGTTAATGTCAAAAATATAGACAGCCTGGGAACAATTATGGACATCTCCAGATACACCATATTATCTTTGGCATCAGTTTTACTTGGTTGAAAATGAAACTCTAAAACGAAGCATTCAGTTTGTTACTCATATGGCTATTCCCACACAACTCAAATGAAATATTGACCCATAACAGGGTTTATACTTGCTTAGAACACTTTCAAAGACTGAGGTCGAGTGGAGCATGGATGATCACTCACTAGTTAGTGCTCATAACTAGTTGCAGAGCATCATAAAACCCAGATCAGAGACGCAGTGGTGCAAAGTCAAAGGCAGAATTAACTATGAGAGCAGAGTCAAGGGAACAAGCCAGGGTTGCTGACTGACAGGGTGGTAAAAGCCAGTAGCCAAGAAAATATGGAGATCCACTTTGGGAATCTGTGCTACGCTGAAAACTGGAAGGATCAAAGGAAGGAACCAGAAATCCATGCAGCCCAGCTGAACACCAGCAGAGAGCCTATCTTAAGTAAAAGACTCTTCTTGATGTTTTCAAATACTGCCATTTATACCTATGTACCCATCAGTGTTGGGTCTGAAATTTCAGATCTGAGGCAGCTCTGTTTACATAATGTTTGCAGTTTTGTAGGGTCAATCTGTTGTTCAGTTATGTTTAGAACTGTGCAAAATACTATCTGTTATCTACAGATTGAGATTAATCCTCTTCTTCAAACTGGAATGCTCTATTTTTCCATATTTACAGTATTCACCATGGAAATGAATGGATAGATAATCCTCGGGAAACCTGTTGACACCAATCCTGGCTGGGAGAAGTGGTTTCTAGCCAGAAGAATGTTTGGCTAACAAATGGTAAATGATGAACCTTGCTTGCCTAGTTCAAACATCCAACTAGATTTTTAACAATTTCCCAACCCCAACCCCCTAGAAGGGCCCCAGGAGTCTTTTATGCTTTATCCTAACTTGTAATCACTGCCACTTACTCTGTAAAGTCTTCCATATATACTGCAAGGCCTTGGAAGTATGTAGATGGTGACTGCATTCATCTGTTGGTTTCTTTTGTTCGATGTGGTGGAGAGGCAAAGATGGCCTGAGGTCTGATGGGCCGAGAGGAGAAAAGAACGGAAGCCGTCACCTCCCTTCACTGCCAAGGCTTCATGCTGTCCTGCTCGCTTGCTGGTGGACCTTGGGTCATGAGACATGTAAGGGCACATCTCCAATAGAGCAACTTTGTAAAACCAAAACTGGATTTTTAGGGACTTCCCTCGTGGCCCAAGGGTTAAGAATGCACCTTGCAATGCAGGGACATGGTTCAATCCCTGTTCAGGGAACTAAGATCCCCCATGCCATGGAGCAACCAAGCCTGAGCCAAAATTATAGAGTCTGAGTGCTGCAACGAAAAATCTTGCATGCCACTATGAAAGATCCCGTGTGCTGCAACTAAGACCCAACGCAGCCAAACCAATAAAAATAAGTTTAAAAAAAAAACTGAGTCTTTATTGTAAACTCGATTTAAGTGGGGGAGTTTATGGAGTTCAACTTATTAATTCATTCAATAAATACTTACTGAGAGTTGATATGATGCTTGGTATGTTCTAGGTGCTGGAGATTCAGCAATAAAAGTAAGTCCATCCCTCAAGTAGGAGTATTAACAGATACACTCTATCATATACAAAATAGACAAGCAACATGGATTTACTGTATAGTACAGGGAGCTATATTCAATATTTTGCAATAAACCATACAAACTGTAATGGAAAAGAATCTGAAAAAAAGAATATAGACATTTAATTTTCTGTGCGTAACTGAATCACTTTGGTGTATACCTGAAACAAATATACTATTGTATTAAGGCACAAGAAAGGAAAGAAAAAAGTCCATCCTTAAAGGAGACTGTATTTCATTATGCCTGTGGGAGAGAGGGTCATGGGAGATGAATAATGGACAAGTAAATAAATGTACATGGGAGCAGGTGACACCTACTGTGAGAAATACAACAGTGTTTAGGGAGAAAGAGTGATGGCTGACAGTGACTTTTTTTTTTTTGATGGAGTCACCAGGGCCTCCCTCTGATCAGTGGTCCTGTAAGCAGAGACTTAAGTACTGAAGCCCCCATGCTCCCCAGCCGGCCCCTTGCCCCACCCCCACCATAGGATTTCTCATCACTCTCTCATTCCCCTTCAGTCCACAGCCCACAAAACTCAGCTCGGCCCCACTGCCTTAGGCCAGAAAACAAAGGGGAACATTATTCACCAGTCACTTTAAAAGCGATTGAGCCAGGCATAAGACACAAAGGATTTGAAAGGCGGTGTGACCTGGTATCACTGTGTCCCCTGCCTTCCCTTCTGGTTTCCAGGTTTGTTAAAATCCCTTGAGCTGGGACGAGGGCAGAGAGTCAGGGATGAGGCAGAGGAAGACGTGAGCAGGGAGTTCTGAGGCTAAGGACCACCTGGGAGGGAGCTGGGGCCACCTGATGAATCCCTTTCTGAACTTTGGGGGATCCAAATAGGGGGCGTCCAGATCCAGGGACTGTCTGTGCCTCTAGAGGGGTGTGGGAAGGTAGCATCTTGAAGTTTCCATGGTCCCGAAAGCAGCATGGGAACTGGGGGGTGGGGGTGGGGCCGGTGGTTAGGGGAGAGGCAGCAGGAGGAGAGCGGGAAGCAAGTGGCAAGCGCTCTGGTCGCTGACCTGAACCAAGAGCAGAAACTCAGGAGCACGAGGGGCGCCCGCGCAGCTGGGAGACTGCCCAGCCGGCACAGGAAGGCCGCACGCCTGGCACAGCCCGTCCTGATGGCGAGGACCGCACAGGGCGAGCTTCACCTGCCCTTGATTCCAGAAGCAGATGGAGACTGAGGTGGGGACGTCCCGATGCCCCACCTGCTGGGCTCACCTGGGAACAACCCAGGGAGGGGACGCACGGGGACTGTGATGCCAAGACCAGCCTTTGAACCCACAGCTACCAAGAAGTCTCTACATTTGACGGAGTTTCCCAGACACGACTAGAAGAAAGTCATGTCTGGATGTGTTTAGTTTTTAATTGAACAGGATTCAGAGCCAGAAATGTATCTAATTATTCTAATTATGAAAAATTAACTTTCACCCACTCCAGCTTGCAACTGTGAAAATTAGCTCCTGCTACACAAAACCGAACTGGCCGATTCTGTGGGAATTTGTGAGACTGAGTTACTTGTACATAGATAATAAGGATGCCACCGAGCTCTGCCAGGGAGCTGCCCCAGAGTTCTTCTTTGAGGCGAACCCAGGCCTGCTTCTCATCCTGGATTCTCCACAAATGACCTGATACCCTGCAGGTCGCTGCTCTTTCATATTTGAAACTACCATGATGATATTGGGTTTTTATGTTGGCTGTGAGAATGAAGGTATTTGGAAGTGGGTAAAGCTCTAGAATGGAAGCTTCCATTGAATGCCTGTGGCTGCCAGGCCACGCTTCCCTTCTGGGGAAAGCTCTCCAAACAGGGCATTGGCTCCTGCTGGTCCTCGTCACACGGCAGGTGCACCAGCCGAGGACAATGAGGGTCCAGGCAGAACACGAGGTGGTTTTGGATGAGCAAGAATATCCTTCGGACCATCTTCCTTGGTGTGGTTGAGGCCAGATGCACATGCAAGATGCTTAACCTGTTCCTCAACCATCCTGAGCTGCGATTCTGGTTTTCCCTGAAGCTTCCTTCACTCCCTGGATTGGACATCCCACACGGCCCCCTGTCCCCTTTGGGTCCTTGGAATAAACCATCATTCAGGTCTGTATATCTTGTATGTAACCTCAAAGAGCATATGAACACACATCAGGCAAATAAATGAATTTACAGTCCATTTGGGTTCTTGGAATAAACCATCATTCAGGCCTGTATATCTTGTACGTTAGCTCAAAGAGCATATGAACATACATCAGGCAAATAAATGAATTTACATCAGGCAAATAAATACAGGCCAACAAATAAAATAGGAGTAGACCGACAAATGTGGGTTCCCCTGGTGGCTCGGGGGTAAAGAAACTGCCTGCAATGAAAGAGACATGGGCTCGATCTCTGGGTTGGAAGGATCCCCTGGAGGAGGAAATAGTGACCCACTCCAGCATCTTGCCTGGAAAATCCCACGGACAGAGGAGACTGGCAGGCTACAGTCCACGGGGTCATATGAGAGTCGGATACGACTCAGTGACTAACCGACAACAACCAACTGACAAATAAAATACAAACCTCTTAGCGGCAGTTTGCATCAAAGCAATACGCTGATTTGGATGGTTAAGGGGGTGCTTTGTAACTGTGAGTCACGTTGTTTATTAGACACTCTTATTGTGTAGCATGACAGGGGACATCTGTTGTAGCATCCTTTGTCCACCTTGTAGACGCATCAGCAAGCCACTTCCCAGGAAGGCCCTCTCCTGGGATGGAAGTGGACATCTGAGCACATGTCGGGGACTGAAGTAGGCTGGGTGAGGCCCGGGGAGGCAGGCCCCGGCAGCTGCATTTTGTCCCAGAGCTGGAGCCCCAGGGTGGAGGAAGGCCAGTGCTGCTGTCTGCAAAGCACCTCCAGCTACTGCAAAGAAATGGCAACACCCGGCACGTCTGCACATCGTTTGAAGTGGGTTTGGTCACCTGCAAAGAATCGTCAACTGCTCTGAGTAAAGGTGATGGAGATGGGGGATAGGATGTCTTGGGGACCGCTCTTCTAGATAGGATTGCACTCCAGAATCCACTCAGAGGGGAAGCAATTTTGGGGCTGGGGAAGGCAGAGATGGCCAAGGTTTGGAGACGGACTAGAGAGAGGCCAGAGCTCAGCCAGGCCCTGCCCAGGAAGGACGGTTCATTTAACTGGGCGCAGTGTGTCTTTTAGAAACTCGATTTCTGTTTCTGGGCTAAAGCAGTCTCCTATAAATTTTCTTTTGTTGACTGGGTCCCATGAATTCACTTTTCATCAGAGTCAACTTTCTTATCAGCAAACTAGTTTGCTGCTCCGTGTAGAGGCAGGCCAGACAGCTGTAGAGAGCTGCTGCTTTGACAGTATTTACAAAGAGCTTTCGAGACAAGATATGATCTTTTTATGGTATTTTTCCTTTTTCAATGAGAAAATGTTTCTTGGAATAAATGTGCTCATCACTTAGTAATTCCACAAACCTGGGATTGTTTAGCTAAATTTGTTTTTTCTGTGCCAATCATATACAAATTTTTTCAAGTTTGATGGAGCAAGAATGAGAGAAAGGAAGGGAACAAAGGATCAAGGTTACTCAAATGCACATCTTTGGGGGGATTCCTCTTTAAAAAGGAGGGGCATTACAGAGTTCTGGAAACTGTGAGCACACAGGATGCAAGATTGATTAACTAACTCCGCAGGCAGGACATGGAGTAAAACCCACAGAGGATGCATGGCTACTCCAGGCATCTTGTTGTTTAGTTGCTAAGTTGTATCCAACTCTTTGTGACCCCATGGACTGTAGCCCACCAGGCTCCTCTGTCTGTGCGATTTTCCAGGCAAGAATACTGGAGTGGGTTGCTGTTCTCGTCTCCAGCTCCAGGCATAGGGAACAGCATATGCCAAGGTCCTGAGAGAAGACAGAGCTTGGAGAATTCCAGGATCAGAAAGATGACTGGATCATCTCATCTTGAGAGCAGGGAGCAAGAGGAAGAGAGAGATGAGCTAGAGCTAGAGAGGCCAGAAAGGACCAGACTATAGGGGCACCAGACGCCACAGCAAGAGTTTAGTGGTTTATCTCATGAGAAGGAAAAAGCGCAAAATGGTTCAGTTCAGTTCAGTTCAGTTCAGTTCAGTCGCTCAGTCATGTCTGACTGTTTGCGACCCCATGGGCTGCAGCACACCAGGCCTCCCTGTCCATCACCTACTCCTGGAGCCTAACCAAACTCATGTCCGTTGAGTCAGTGATGCCATCCAGCCATCTCATCCTCTGTCATCCCCTTCTCCTCCTGCCCTCAATCTTTCCCAGCATAAGGGTCTTTTCAAATGAGTCAGCTCTTCGCATTAGGTGGCCAGAGTATTGGAGTTTCAGCTTCAACCTCAGTCCTTCCAATGAACACCCAGGACTGATCTCCTTTAGGAGTGACTGGTTGGATCTCCTTGCAGTCCAAGGAACTCTTAAAGAGTCTTCTCCAACACCACAGTTCAAAATGGTTAAAACTATATAAAAGAGAGGGGGGAGGTTGGGAGGGTGAGGGTGGGGTGTAACTGGATTTACATGCTAGGATCGCCTTGGCTGCAGCAGAAAGGATTGGAAGCAGGGGAGTGGGGAGGCTGGACAGAGAACCCTGTGATATTGGTGCCAGAGCCTGAGTCCCGACTGGGGTGAATGGAGAGAAGGAGAAATGGACCAGTCATGAGACCAAGAGGGTGAACCAGAAAGGACAGCCCTGGGTTGTGGATGGAGAGTGCCCGAGAGGGAACAGAAACGTTCGTTTGTTCAAAACTTTGTTTACAGTTGCAGAGGCGGGTAGAGCATTTGACTGCAAACTTTTGTTTACATTTGTATTAGTTTCCTAGAGCTGACTTAACACAGTTGAGACCAGGTGGCTTGAAAGAACAGGAATTTATTCTCTCATTGTCCTGGGGACCAGAAGTCTGCCATGATGATGTCAGTGGGCCAGGCTCCCCAAAGGCTCAAGGGGAGAATTCTTCCTTGTTTCTCTTGCCTCTGGTGTTGCCAGCAATCCTCGATGTTATTTATTGCTGCCTCACTCCAGTCTCTGCCTCTGTCATCATGCGCACTTCTTCCTTTGGCGTGTGTGTCTCTGTACCTAAATCTCTCTCTCCTTTTCTTGAGACAGCAGTCATTGGCTTTAGGATTCACCTTAACCTACACTGACCTCAACCTAAAATGATTTTATCTGCAAATGAAGTCATATTCACAGGCACTGGGGATTATGACCTCAGTATGTCTTTCGCGGGGCAGGGAGGTGGAGGGGACACAATTCGACGGACTATATCCTATATCTTAAGATAATACCCTGTCATGGCTGTTGATGTTTTAAATAAACATAAAAGATCAACAGTTTCTCTGAATGTCATAGTTGTCTTCATTATTATATTACAACGTGTTGATTTTATGTATTGTATCATAGTCAATTTCCACAGCCTCACAAATGAATTCAGTATTGGTGGAATCCATATTACAAAGTCATATTACAGCTTACTGGTTTCTCTATTGTTATAGACATTTCTCATTTTCCTAAAAAAATATTTTGGTTAAAGTGTTTTACGGTGAATTTCATTGATGACTTTCTCCTTTTCCCAAAGGAAAACATGGCTAAAGGTCATAACTATGTTAAATTTGATCTTTGAAGATGATAGCCACAGAATTCTATTGAGAATATCATCTGTGTGAAGGCTCTTATTGCCCTGGAAGAGAGCCTCATGGGTTCAAGTCCTGGATTCTGGAAGAACTGACATACCCAAGCCATGCTGAATTTGTGGTAGTTCTCCTAGTGAAGAATACACACACCCCAAAACGCATTTCAATAAAGACATCACCCCATAGTAAATATGATGCCCTGGAGGCAGAACCACTGTTAAGTTTTACAGAATTAAGTTATTATGGCAAACCTCAGATTGTTGCAAGTACTTGTATATTTATCTGTGTGAGTATATGTTACCTTACCAGATACAATGGGCCTGAAAAATGACCCACTTTATTTTCGTAAGTCCCCAGGAAAAAATGGATAAACTATTGCAATTTTTCCATTCCTATAAACATAGGCATTTTGTATGTTTATATACCCAGAATATGCTTTTCAAGTTCAGACATAACATTACTTGCCTTTGTTGCTTGGCCTGCCCCATTTGTTATAGTCTACATGGC